TAAATATTCTGTTTAATAAATTTTTGAATGAGTGTGTCATTCCAATGTTAATATGCATGTAAAATGCTTAGAACATGATCTGGCACATAGCAAACACTAATAAATATCTATTGCTATTATTATCTGAAATCGGTATAGATTTCATCTCACTCAAAGCTTTGATGATTATTTCCTTTTTTAAATATATTTTTATTGATTTTTTAGAGAGAGAGGGATAGAGAGAAACATTGATGTGAGAAAGAAACATCCATCAGCTGCCTCCAGCATGCCCCCTACTGGGGATCAAGCCTGCAACCCAAGCATGTGCCTTGACCAGGAATCAAACTGGGACCTCTCAGTCCATGAGACAACGCTCAATCCACTGAGCCACACCATCTGGGCTTTTTTTTTTTCCAGTTTTATTTTTTATTAAATTTATTGGGGTGACATTGTTTAATATCATATAGGTTTGAAGTGTACATTTCTATGATATATGATCTGTAGATTGGATTGTATTATTTCTATCCTTAGAATCAAAGACTTGTGGAATCTTAGAACTGGAAAATATACTTAAGTTCATCTGATAAAATCCCTTTATTCTGTTAGGTCACTGGCTTGAACTGATGTCAAGGATATTTGATCCATCTCACTGTAATAGTGGTTCTTAAACCAGGGGGCTGTGATAGCCCCCATTTTAAAGAATTATTTGGTCCATAATGTCCATAGTGCTAAAGTTTAAGAAATCCAGTGCTGTAGGTATGTCTCTGCTTTTTATTTAACCTTCATTGAAGGAGACTCACCTGCTTCCTTGGTTAACATGTTCCATTGTCACAGAAAAATGTTAATACCAGATTTATTCTTTATTTGGTATTTCTTCTATTTATTTGTATTTTCCGTGGTTTGAGAAGAAAATTTAAATAGTTAAAATATGCAGGAAAAATAAGTTCTGCAGAATGATTTATCTCATATACATACCCTTTAGAGTTGTTTGGGAGAATTTATAGAAATTATGTGGAGAGAGCTGTTACAAAGTTAACGGAGGTTTATTGAATGCCTTTGCAATAATAGTTGCTTCTATTAAACACATTTTTTTTTTTTTAGAGAGAGAGAAGAAGGGAGAGAAAAATAGAAACATCGATGTGAGAGAGAAACATGGATCAGCAGCCTCCTGCACGCTCCCTCTCCCCCCGGAAATCAAGCCCACAGCCTGGGCATGTTCGCTGACAGGGACTCAAACCGGGACCTCTCAGTCCATGGGACGACATTCAATCCACTGAGCCACACCAGCCAGGCAACTGAATTTTTTTTTAAAATAAAGGTTTTTAAAAAGTTAATAAATAAAAGAAAGGTTTTATCTGGCCATTGCTAGCAAAAAAAGAAGACCGCTCTTGGGACATGAAATCTGAATCACCAGCATCATCACTAACTAGAAAAGACAAACACGTGTCCGTGGCTTTTTTATACATTAAGTAGTAGGGAGAAAGATATAAGCTGTTCTAAAAGAATTTATATTGGCTATAGACAAAGGGATGGGAGACAAGTTCTGGGGTGGGCCAGCAGAGTCTATAAAGCTCATGTGTAAATAGGAAGCAGAGATTCCTGGGGTTCCACTGCACCTGGCTATTCTTTTTAGATAATTTCATAAATAGCCACCTGGAAGTTTAGTTTAATAATTCCAACATACAATAAGGAGTGTGAGTAGTTCTTTTGTTGTTGTTTTTTTTGCCCTGCAGTGTAACCTGATGAACCCCTTTGTGTCTCTTCCTTTTTAAATTTAGAACATCCCAGAATTTTTTTCTTGTCATCTCACAACTACCTCTTTTAGCTTTATATATAAAGTGTTCCCTGATGACTGTCAGGGAAGAAAAGGAGTTAAATGAAAGAAGAAGCTAGAGTGCGAGAAAGGGACAGAATGGCAGCTTTCATTCTGCCTTTCTCTATAGCTGTTTGCTCCTTCATTCTTCATCTCTCTACCCCATTTCCAAGACTAAAAGTATAAACGGTGATTACTGCTACTGATTGAACGTCGTCAGGAACCTAAGATTGATGGAGAGGTCGGTACAATTCCTCCTCTAGCAAGAGATACCAGAGCTGTGTTCCACTTTTCAAAGTTGCCTGAATAAAAGTGCAAATATCCCAGTCTGCAGTTTGGAAGAAAATCCCAGGTGTATAGGCTGCTTTTTCATTAGTTTGCAGATCATCTTTTTCCTTCCCCTCACAAGTTCTGTTCTTTTCTCTCGGTGGCAGTCACATGGTGATATCTTGCCCCAGAAGCCATTTTTATCCTTATGTAGTGCTTGCACTCAAAAGTGGTTCTTTTCTGAATGACTAGGATCTTCAAAGTTCAAGGTCATAATTAACTTTAGCCCGAATTCCAGTGTAACTTAGGTGTTTTTGCAAGTAAATATAAGTGGCTATCTTAAATTTTATTCATGTCTAGTCTGCCTTGCCATTTTTTTAGCAAGAAAAGATTAAGGAGTAACTGACACTATGCTAACTTTTCTGCATGTTTTTATAGTATATTTAAGATCTTTCTTTGACCAGTCAATAAAATGTAATATTTTTAGCTTTTTGTCAAATAGATTTCTGAGGTTTTTAAGCTATTTTTTTTCTTTCAGTTGGGCCTAGTAGAATTCTCTATGTGACCTTTCAGATGGAAGAAAGTATTCCTTTGCAGAGACATACCCTGAATACCACATTGAAATATAACCCCCCTGCAAAGTAAATCAGAGTTGTTGTTTTTTTATGGGGGGGGGCTGTTTGTTTGTTTTTTAAATCCTCACCCGAGGACATTTTCCCATTTTTTGTTCAGATAGAGTGGGAAGGAGAGAGAGAGAGAGAGAGAGAAACATCGACGTGAAAGGGGCACATCGAGTGGCTGCCTCCTGAACGACCAACCAGGGCCAGGGACAAACTGAAACCGAGGTACGTGCCCTTAGCGGGAACCAAACCTGGGTCTCTCTGGACCACAGGCCAACGCTCTAACTGCTGAGCCAAACCGGCCAGGGCGAAAATCAGAGTTGTTGAATGTTCTGTAAGGCAGTCAGCTCATCGATGCTTAGAACCGATGCAGTGATCAACAGCATCCTGAAAGAAAAGCATGAGAACTTTAAGTTGGCTTGATTGATTGGATAAGTAAATAGTCAAGAATAAAATGAATTTTAATCGACATGAATATAGATTGAACCACAGAGAACCTGTGCAGACATAAGTCAGGATTTTGTTTCAGAATGGCACAAAATACATATCTGAGGTATAGTTGACTGAAAGTTTAATAAGAGTGAAATATTTTAAATGTAAAATGACTTTTTAATGTTAGCATGGCACTACAACTACCATTGTTACTAATAGCTAACTGTCGTGCACTGTTCTAAGCCCTTTATGATGTGACCATTGACTCAGGAGAGGCAAACCAGATTATAGAAAACACAGGTATCCCTGGCTGGTGTGGTTCAGATGGTTGAGCATAATCCCATGCACCAAAAGGTCATCCATTTGATTCCTGGTCAGGGCACATACCCAGGTTGTGGATTTGATCCCTGGTCAGGGTGAGTGCAGGAGGCAACCGCTTGGTTTTCTCTCACATCGGTGTGTCTCTCCCTCTTTTTCCCTCTCCCTTCCTCTATCTCTAAAAATCAATAAAAACATTTTAAAAAGAGACACAATAGAGTCTTAAGAGCTGTCCTATGATGTTACATTCATTAAAAAATAATTAAAAACAAACACAGGTACTCTTTCCTCCCCTAAGTCAACTGAACACCCAGCAGTAGTGCAGTGGAGGCCCATCCTACCAGCCCAGGTGCTAGGCTTCTTTCAGCTCCACCTGTAGTAATGTTTTCATCTCAGGTAAAATTCAAGTATTGGTGTTTGCTGAGCCTTGAGGGAATAAGAGCTATTTGTTAGGATAGGAATAGATACTTATTAATATTACAAATAGAATAGGTAGAGGACTTTTTTTTTTAATCCTCACCTGAGGATATTTTTCTGTTTGTCATCAGATAGGGTAGGAGAGAGGGAGAGAGAGAAGAGGGAGTAGGGGGAGAGAAACATCAACGTGAGGGAGACACATCAACTGGTTGCCTCCTGCACGACCTGACCAGGGCCGGGGACAAACTGCAACCGAGGTACTTGCCCTTGACTGGAATTGAACCCGAGACTCATTGGTCCTCGAGCCGATTCTCTAATCACTAAGCCAAACTGGCCAGGGCTAGGTAGAGGTCTGAACCCATGGAAGTAGGGTTCAGACTGACAAACTTCAGAGGAGGGGATGGGAGAGAGGGAAGAGATAAACCGAAGAACTTATGCATATAAGCATAACCAATGGACATAGACAACAATGCTGGGGGGACAGGGGACAGGAGGAGGACGTCAGTGGGGGGAAAAGGAGAAACAACTGTAATAAAAATAAATTAATTAAGTAATAATTTAAAAAAAAATAGCCCTGCCGGTTTGGCCCAGCAGTTAGAGTGTCGGCCCGCGGACTGGAGAGTCCCGGGTTCAGTTCCCACTAAGGGCATGTACCTCGGTTGCAGTTTGTCTCCGGCCCTGGTTGGGGGTGTGTGGGTGGCAACCAGTTGATGTTTCTCTCTCTCTTCCTTCCTGTCTTCCTCCCACTCTATCTGAAGATAAATGTAAAAATGTCCTCTGGTGAGGATTAAAAAAAAAAAAATTGAACTACAAACAATTAAATTTGACTTGTATTTAGAATTGTTTTAATATTTATTAGAGGTGTACACATATGCATAGGAAGAAGTTGTAAAAATCCTGCTTTTAGTGGGAAAATTTAACATCACTTCAATATATAATAGTTTTCTGATTTGAACCCATATATTGAATTTAGAGAGCTGGAAATGTATTTTCATGTATTTATATGAAATTGTCAAGCACTCTAATGTCTTTGGAACAGATTTTTTTTTTAAATCTTTTCATGCTCTAAAACAGTGCTAGTAAGATGATTTTGATAATATATTGTGAGCAAGAATCATGTGTTAAAAATAACAAACATTTTTCCTGGTTTTTAGATGTGTGGTTTTTAACAACAGAGGAGTAGCGGGGGAGAATCTCTTGGTAAGTAAATTTAAATTAGTAACAGTTTAATTTTTTAAAAGAATCATTTCTAGTTTTATAATGAAAGGCATGTTTCTTTTTATTTAGGATAACATATAAACAATACAAGTTCATTGTGGAAAAATACAGATAAGAAAAAAAAAAAAAGGAAATTTGCAAGATCCATAATTATACAACCAGGGAAATCCCCTTAGTCTATGTTCATTCAGATCTTACATTTAAATGACAAATATGTGGTATATTTATATTTTTATAAAAATTAAATTTGTTTTATACTTAACTTTTGTATTTACTGTATTTTAAATTAATAGATATCTACATCTTTTTAAGTGAAAACATATTTTCTTTAAAAATTAACCAGCACAGTGATACTTTTTTTCACTTAAGAAATTTACTTTTTCATGAAATGGATTAACTATGTTATATGCCTAATGCTCCTCAAAGTTTGCATAGAAAGAATATTCTTTTAAATCAGCTAAAGTTTGTTTGTTATGGTGATCGAAGTTCTTGAATCTCCTAGGAAATCATCACTCTATTTGATGTTATATTACACCCACTGAATTGGAATGAGAAATATTACACCCACTGAAATTTTCTGAGAGCTTTTCAGCTATTAGTCTCTTATCATCAACAGGTCAAAGGCAGTTCTATCAGAATTGAAAGAAATTTTTATTGAGTCATTGATAGAGAATGTTATTAAGACTATAAATAAGTCAATTACGCTGAAGATAAAAAATTACAATCATGTCACTAATACCAGTACTTTATGAGAACACAGGGATAAAAGAGCTCTTTTGCTTTAAAGTAACTTAACCTTGGAAGGAATTAAGATCAATATGATTTTATTTTATTTATTTATTTATTTTTTAAATCCTCACCCAAGGACATTTTTTTTTTGCATTTATCTTCAGATAGAGCAGGAGGGAGAGAGGGGGGAAGAGAGAGAGAAAAACATCAATGTGAGAGAGACACATCGAGTGGTTGCCACCCACACGACCTCAACTGGGGCCAGGGACAAACTGCAACTGAGGTATGTGTCCTTAGCGGGAACCGAACCCAGGATTCTCTGGTCCACAGGCTGATGCTCTAACCGCTGAGCCAAACCAGCCAGGGCCAAGATCAATATGATTTTAAGAGCTAAAGTTATAAAATGTTTATGGCCTTACTCAAGTGCCTCATAATAAATAGTTTGGCCCTGGCTGGTTTGACTCAGCTGTTAGAGCGTCGACCTGTGGACCGATGAGTCCTGGGTTTGATTCCTGTCAAGGGCACGTACCTCGGTTGCGGTTTGACCCCAGCCCTGGTCGGGATTGTGCAGGAGGCAACCAGTTGGTGTGTCCCTCTCACGTGAATGTTTCTTTCTCTCTCTCCCTCCCACTCTATCGGAAGATAAATGGAAAAGTATCCTCGGATGAGGAGTAAAAATAAATAAATTAAATAAATAAATACATACATACATAAATAAATCAAGTTTGATGTGAAGGTTTACGTTTCTTTATTTATCCAGCCTTTTAGAAATCTGGTAGACAAATGATAGGTACTTTAAAGGGAAAGATTTGAATTTGTCATTGTGGCTCTGCATCAAGCAAATTGTTTGTTTGTTTTTAAAAGCACAGCGCTATTTATTTATTTGTTTATTTATTTATTTATTTAATCAATCCTCACCTGAGGGCACATTCATTGATTTATCAGAGAGAGAGAGAGAGAGAGAGACATCAGTGTTGAGAGAGAACATCTAATGTTTGCCTCCCCTATATGCTCTTACTGGGGATCAAACTTGCAACCTAGGTATGTGCCCTGACTGGAATCGAATCTGAGACATTCTGGCGTACAGGACAATGCTCCAATCAACTGAGTCACAGCAGCCATGGGCAAATTGTTTTTGAGCAGCTCTTGTCTGCTGTGTATCTTTCTAGGTGCTTCAAGGATACAAAGATTGGAAGACATGGTCTGAGGCTCTCAAGGAAATAATGTGCTTATAAAGTAAACTCCATTAGGTCCCATAAATGAAAGGTCTGTTCATTCAGCAGAGCCGTGTTGTATGCCTATTAAATCAGGCACTGTTGGATGAGGAGTGTACATTTTATTAGACACAACCCTGAGCCTTAGCAGCTTTAACTTGTTACAGGAAAGAGATACATAAAAATATGCACAATACAGTGCTAAGTGTAACTGTGGGAAAATTTATGAAGGCTACAGAGCATAAAGGAATGTAGTAACTAACTGCATGGGGGTGAGAGAATATTGTAGTGGAGGAAAATTTGAGTTGGATCTTGAAGTCTATGGTATTGAACCAGGAGAAGGGATAGAGAAGCCTTCTCAGCATAAAAAGCAAGATATTAAAGAGCGTGGGATAGCAAGTCTTTATTAGTGGAGAGATAATAATGATGATAATTTTATCTAATGTTTACTGAGCCCTTAGACTATATCAGTTATGTCTTTTCATACTTGATGTTCAGCAGGAGAAACAACCTAATGATTTAGGTAAGCATAGCTACCATCATCCCCATTTTCCAGAAGAAGAGAATGAAACACAAATATGTTAAGAACTTGCCCTAACTAAAAAATTCAGAGCCAGGATTCAGACCCAGGTAGTCTGACTATGTGCTTATGTTTTTTACCACTATCCTATACTCTCTCTCATTATTCAGAAAGTGATGGGAATTCTTTTAGAAGGAATAGGACCAAATTTTGAAGTCATGTGAAGTATCCCCAGGAACCTAGTATCAAACCATAGACATTTAAAAAAATTTGTTTAGCCCAGCTGATGTGTCTCAGTGGTTGAGCATCGACCCATGCACCAAGAGGTTGCAGGTTTGATTTTCAGTAAGGGCACATGCCCAGGTTGTGAGCCCAGTCCCCAGTGAAGGGCATGCAGGAGGCGGCCGATCGATGTTCTCTCTCGTTGATGTTTCTATCTCTCTCTCCCTCTCCCTTCCTCTCTCTCTAAAAATCAATAAAGAAAAAAAAAATTTTTGGTAAAAAGTAAAAGCATTTGTTTAGCTTTATTGAAGTATAGTTGACATAAAATAATGTGATTGTGGTCTTATCTTAGAAAGATAACTTAAAGCAGTGTGTAGAAAAGAGATGGAGGGGTAGGGATCTGGAGGCTGGGAGCTCAGTAAGAAAACAGTTACTATAGATCTACCCAGAGTTTCAAAGCACGTAGGAGGCAGGAAAAAGAGAGAACAAAAATGAGGGGTATTCATGGGGTAGAAAGATTATTACGTGGGAGTCAAGCTTAACATTTCTAGCTTGGCAAAATGATAAAAGGCACTGACATCTGCTGATATAGGAAATTTAGGAGAATGTATGAGGTTTTGATATAATAAAAATAAATTCAGTTTTAGATTTTTTTTATCCTCACCCGAGGACACTTTTGCATTTATCTTCAGATAGAGCGAGAGGGAGAGAAGGAGGAAGAGAGAGAGAGAGAGAAACATTGACATGAGAGAGACATATCGACTGGTCCACCATCCACATGACTCCAACCAGCTGGGACAAACTGCAGCCAAGGTACGTGCCCTTAGCGGGAACCAAACTTGGGACTCTCTGGTCCACGGGTCGATGCTCTAACCTCTGAGCCAAACCGGCCAGGGCTCAGTTTCAGATGTTCAAAGCTTTTAGATCATTCAGGTGGAAATGTATAGTAAATAGCTGCATATACTAGACTGGTGCACAGGAGAAATGTACAGAAATAAACAGATTGTAAGTGTGCAAATGGAATTGGAACTCAGGAGTGACTAAGATTGCTTAGGGACAGTGTGTAAGCCAAGGGAAAAAGTCAGATAGCATCTTAGAACACCATGAACAGGAAGGAGGAAGCTTGAAAAACCTTCTACCCTCAGCATTTAAAGTTAATTGGAGCCCTGGCCAGTTTGGCTCAGCGGTTAGAGCATCAGCCTGTGGTTCGGAGAGACCTGGGTTCTGCTCCCACTAAGGGCGCGTACATCAGGAGCAGTTTGTCCCCGGCCCTGGTTGGGTTGTGCGGGTGGCAGCCAGCAGCCACTCAATGTGTCCCTTTCACGTCGATATTTCTCTCTCACTTTCTCTTCCTCTCTCTCCCTCCCACTCTATCTGAACAAAAAATGGAAAAATGTCCTCAGGTGAGGATAAAAAAAAAATTTTTTTTTAAATTAAAGTTAATTGGAAATTTACTTTGAAGGAATACAGCAACCCAGCAACTTTTAGCCATGAACTTTAATTGGATTTTTGAAAAATCTCCAAGAATACTTGAGTTCTTACAAGAGGATAGTATATAAACTATTTTTTTATTTTTTTATTTTAAAGAATTCACTGAGTTGTAAGTGAGGGGATAAGAGTAGCTTGGTCTTACCATGACCGGATGCCTCAGTTGGAGCATCTTCCCATGCACCAAAAGGTTGCAGGTTCGATTCCCAGTCAGGGCACATACCTAGGTTGTGGGTTTGATCCCCATTCAGGAGGCAACTGATTGATGTTTCTCTCTTTTTCTCTCTCTCTCTGTCTCTCTCAAATCAATAAATATATCTTTGGGTGAGGATAAAAAAGAAGAAAGAGTAGCTTGGTCTCTGGATTCTTATACAGTACACTGAATTGACTTCTGATGAGCTAATACCCCCAGCAAATACCTGTATCAAAGAGGCAAATGTGATCTAATTTAAGAATAAGAATGTGCCCAGCCAGTGTGGTTCCATGGTTGAACGTTAACCCATACACCAAGAGGCCACCTGTTCGATCCTGGTCAGGGCACATGTTCAGGTTGTGGGCCAAATCCCCAGTGGGGGGGCATGCAGAAAGTGGTCAATAGATGTTCTCTCTAATCGATGTTTCTCTCTCTCTCCCTCTCCTTTCCTCTCTCTCTAAAATCAATAAAGAAAAAAATCCTGGCCAGTTTCTCAGTGGTTAGAGCATCGGCCCAAGGACCAAAGAGTCTCAGGGTTTTTTTTGTTTGTTTTGTTTTTTATTTATCCTCACCCGAGGCCATTTTTCAATATTTTGTTCAGATAGAGTGGGAGGGA